GTTCTTAAATGAGATCGATGATAATTCCGCCTGGCAGTTTATCCTAAGCACAGATCCCATCTCTTTTGTTTCCACGCATTCAAGGAATGAGGTCAGGACAGTACTAATGTTAATTTTTATTATGCATATAAAATGTAAACCTTCATCTTTGACATGAGTTGTAAGGTAGTACTTAGTAGATTCTAGCATGCTATAAAGTATGTCCATTATGAATGATTAAGAATGCCCCATAAACTGTATTCATCATTAATAATTTTAGATGCATCTGAATATGGTGTCTCCCCATCAAAAAAAGTTCAGTCTTTGTTTTACAAGAAAAAAATTATAAACATTCAGACCAGCTTTTAACTTCTAAAGTGATAATTACATTCTCCTTTCTCCCTTCTGCTCAACTTTGTAGTAATTTTGAAAAAAAATAAAAGTGCTTTTGCTAATTTTTTTTTCTTATTTATTTATTTATTTATTTTGCAGCAGGCCAGTATGAGGATCCGAACCTCGGCGTGGTGTTATAAGGCTGCATTCTAACCAACTGAGCTAACTGGCCAGCCTATGCCCCTGCCAATATTAAAGCTGAACCCAGTGTGCAGCTTGTAATAAACTCTGACTGCACCCTTTAACCTCCTACTTGGGAATTCAAACTCTGAATATTTTTCAGTTTCTCATATGGATTTAATACACTTCCACATAGGCCATTTTAGTTCTGTTTCTGATAGGCCATTAGAGAAAACCTTCATATTCAAAATTCTGCTTCATTATATAAACAAAAGTTTAAATTATAATTTCTTCTAAAGCTGTCACCTTCATAGGCCACTGAGCATAAATAAATTACTGTGTAAGTTTTAATCACTTGATGTCGGGTGGAAACTGCCATCACCACCATGTGCCGTCTTTTCTTCTTTTCTTTTTTTTCTTCTAGAATGTCCTGAGTATTCTTGGCCTCAGGAAATGATTGTTACATTTCCCTGAACACCACCTTTGCTGCAGCTGGAGACCCTGCTTCTTCTATTGGTGAAATTTTGTATCAGATTTTATTTTATCAATAGCTCAGTTTAGAAAGAATTCATTTTTTTCTAATATTGATTTTCTTATCAATAAATGTGTTCTACTTCATCATTTGTATGTCATAAAATGGATTTAAATAGAAGTTTATAAGAATTTCCAAAAGAGCCTCTAACATCTTTTGTCAGTTACTTTGTATACATGTTGTTGCTATTATAAATACTATCCCTTCTTAAACACTGCCTAAATCAGAAATTCAATGATTCAGTGACTTTCCGGTGTCATTCACCTATCTGTAAATTGTGTTTGGTCAAGTAAGTCTTCACAAGTTATTCATTGGCTTATCCTGAGATTTCAACCTAACCATTTACCACCACAAAAGAAAAATTGCCTTGACTTGAGAAAGAAAAGAATAACAGGTTTGATTTCTATAATTGTTGTTGTATTTTTTCTTCCTACAAGATTAACCTTCATAGTTTAATAGTATTGAAATGGATTTCTCTTTACAAATGTCAGAGTAGAAATGTAGTCTAGATCTAAGCGGAATGATCAGGGAAATTTTACCTGAGGCTAAATTATCATGGAAAACCCTCCAATTGACAAACTACCCATATTTAATAGTTGTTGCTTCCAAAAAATTCTGTGATATTGGAATTTCTGAATTTAGAGAGAAGCCAAGTCCACTGTATGTCACCCTACATATCTTCCTCCACACACATCTTTTCTCTTGAACTCAGTTAAAATAAACACTAAGTCATTCTTGCATTAGAAAGAGAGCATTTCAACATCATTATTCAAAAACAGGAAACCCAAAATTTGATTACCTTATCAGTATTTAAAAAAAAGTGCTGCCAGGCCGACCCCGTGGCTCACTCTGGAGAGTGCGGCGCGCAGCCGCGCTGGTAGGGGCAAGGCCCCGGGTTCGGATCCTATATAGGGATGGCCGGTGCATTCACTGGCTGAGCGTGGTGCAGGTGACACCAAGCCAAGGGTTATGATCCCCTTACCGGTAACAAAAAAAAAAAAAAAAAAAAAAAAAAAAAAAAAAAAAAAAGGGNTCAAAGTCATTATGAAATAAGCCTTCTTTAGGAAAAGTTATTCATCTAACTATAAACTCTCCTAACAATACTCTCATCCAACTCACGTGTTTCCTTTTCACCCCAAAGTGTATCCAAGACATGTCCATAGGACTAGGATCACACAGGCAGAATGAAATGGAAAGTAAGGAGCCCTGGTAACAATTAAGTACAGCTAAGGAAGGCATTGTGTGAAATATCTGAGGATGCTGATTCAGGATTCAGAATCACCAGTGGGGAGATGCCAAGCTGTAAACCAATATGAAAACGGTATATGACCATTCATGAATATGTCCTGAGAATATACTTTCTTTTAAAATTATATTTCACTTAATTTAAGTTTGCTAGTCTAAACTTAACAGAATACTGTATAAGTACTCTAGGGCAGATTAGGGCAAACTTTTCTTAAAGGGCCAGAATATAAATATTTTAGGCTTTGCAAACCCTACAGTCTCTGTCACAACTACTCAACTCTGCCTTTGTAGCATTGACAATACGTAAATTAATGGATGTGGCTGTGCTCTGATGATAAAACTTTATTTACAAAAACAGATTACAGGTCTTATTTGGTCCATCGGCCATGGATAAATCCAGGGTTGTAGCTTGGCAATCCATTACATGCATACACACACAGACACACACAGACACACACACACACACACACACATTTTATTTTGAATAACATTTCTGATTCCAGTGTTTTCAGAATGCTGCCATTTGAGATAATATCTGAAAAGGTATCTCTCCCTTTCCTCAAAATTATTCACTCAGCCAAAAAATCCTGAGTGTATTTAGAGAGAGAATGCATATCCTCCTAAAAGTTTTTCCTTATTTGTGCTTTAATAAATTTTAAATTATAAATATTTAGAGCCCTATATCCACCATGCATCCTGGCACTTAGAACACACAGGCACTGTCCTTTGCATGATTGAGTAACACCAGAGATAACTCCAGCCAGCCCTGGGAAGGGTAGTGATCACAGTAAAAATGTCATATAGGCCTCCTTTTAAAGAAGGAAAAAGAAAATCAGTTGAATAGCCTACCTATTAAGAAGAAAATAAGCTATAATTGAAGGGAAACTGTAAAGTACATCACTGGAACATCAAACTTTATTTAGAAACTTTTATAAATATCTTAATTATTGTTAATAGAAGAGACATATAAATATAATTATGTAAGACCCTGTAAACCAGATAATTGTGCATATTAATCAAATTGAAGAGAAGTTCTTAAATGAGATCGATGATAATTCCGCCTGGCAGTTTATCCTAAGCACAGATCCCATCTCTTTTGTTTCCACGCATTCAAGGAATGAGGTCAGGACAGTACTAATGTTAATTTTTATTATGCATATAAAATCGGTAAAAAAAAAAAAAAAAAAAAAAAAAAAGAAAGAAAGAAAAAAAGGGTGCTGCCCAGAGAGGTTTTAATTCAAAAATGAATTTTCTTTTTGTATTTTCAGTAGAACTGTGGCCTTAATATCCTGAGACTGGCAACCTCTTAGGAGTATCCCACAGTTGTAACCCTGATCAGAAGAGAAACTTCAGAGAACTATCAACTGGGTGCCCAGGGTAGGATCTCAAAGTCAGGCTAGGGGAAAATGTCAGAATAAAGTTCTGTGAGATTACTTTCAGTTCCTCATTTTCCTTCTGCCAATCTATGCACTCCTTACCACTACTATTTTATGACCTCCCACTGTAGCAGATGCACATAGATCAAAATGAAAAAGTCTGTTTCTTGGTATTTGTCAATATGTTGCCATTGCTGCTGGTGTGTGTGTGTCTGTGTGTGTGTTTGCACGTGTATGAGGAGAGAGAAAGTTGACTCTTCAAAACAAAACTGTAAGCTCTTTGAAAAGAGAAATTGTGCCTGCTTTTTATGTGTTTCCTCTCAGTTCCTAGAGCTAGTTTTACACTGAAGGGACTCCATCAATGATGTTTCTTGATTGACTAACTGATGATTTCAAATTTAAAGTGCAGGCTGTGTATCTATAACTCACTTTAGACCATCAGTACATCCAGCACCCTCATCTCCAATCCCCTGCTCTTCCCCACTAGAGAGTAAATTCTCAGCTCCAGTTTCAAGAATCCTATTACAGCAGGATCATCCAGGAGCACTCAGCTCCACACTCGATGACCCCTTTTCTGTGGCTCACCGATCCACATCTGAACATTCACCCACGGTGTCCTTCTATTTATCTTTTTGCTAATCTCACTTACTACCCTATTGACCCTTCTCCAAGAATTCTGTCTTGACCACACACCCACAGCAAATGTTGATTTTTCCAAATTCTCTCAACATAGTTTGATCTCTTTTTAATTTCTAAAATGAAATTCTACCTAAAAATTTGCACTTCATTCTTTTTTTTATTTTTTTTAGTTATTTTTTTCATTTATGTGTCCTTCCTTTCATATTAGGTTCAGGGACCTTACTTGTTTTTTGTGTGTGTGTGTGTGTGTGTCAGTATGCAATGTGCTTGATTATTGTGGCCCATTACCGAAACTTCCCTCCAGCCGCCCTCTCCCCGCTCCCTCCCAACAAAGTACTTTCTGTTTGCTTGCCATGTCAACTTCAAGGAATTGTAATTGTTATATCTTCTCCCCCCACACCCCCCGGCATTTTTTGTGTATTTATTTATTTATTTTTAGCTCCCACATATAAGTGAGAACATGTGATATTTCTCTTTCTGTGCCTGACTTGTTTCATTTAATATATTTCTCTCTAGGTCCATCCATGCAGGGACCTTACCTGTATTGCTCTTCTGTTTACATTTCCCAATTTGTCCCAATCCAAAACTAAGTCAATGTTAATTTCATGTTTTACAAATTTTTGATCGAATAGTGGATTAGTTGATTTACTTGACTAACCTACTCAATCCTACAGTTACCAGATGGATGGACTATGACCCTAGAGATCCTCAGGGTCTCACACAGCCCTAATCCTCTGGGTGATCCTCCTGATAGCCTCCTTCACCTCTTGGTTACGAAGAGTATAAATGATGGGGTTGAGAAAAGGGGTAAGAAAAGAATAAACTAAGGCAATAAGCTTGCCTTTGCCCTCAGCTCGGATCCCAGGTGGTCCCACATAGACAATGAAGGCAGAGCCAAAGAACAGTGTCACTACAATTATGTGGGAGGAACAGGTGGAGAAAGCCTTGGAACGGCTGGCAGCTGAGGGCAGCTTCAGCACAGCTTTCAAGATGCCTCCATAGAGTCCCAAAATAAGGACAAGACTGCATGTGTTGATCATGCCAATCACTACAATATGGACCCAAGGATGCCCTCCCGTGTGCACACATGCCAACCGCATTAGTGGTGCCAGGTCACAAAAATAATGGGCCACCTCTTTCAAGCAGAAGGGCAGAGTGGCGGTGAGACTGACTGGCACAAGTGCAGCTGAGAAGCCAGCCACCCAAGGGGCCCCAGCTAGCCACAGCTGTACCCGTCTGCTCATGAGTGCATGGTAGTGCAGGGGGCGGCAGATGGCAAAGTGGCGGTCCAGTGCCATGACACCCAACAGGTAGCACTCAGTCATGCCCAAAGAATGGAAGACATACAGCTGGAGGAAGCACATAGTTGATGAGATGGGTGAGCACCCGTGAAGCAAGGTGTGTAGCAGCGTGGGCACCGTGGTGCTGACGTACCAGAGCTCCAGAAAGGAGAGGACACTGATAAAGAAGTACATGGGTGTGGACAGTCCAGAATCTACCTGAACCAGGATGATGATAAAAATGTTCCCTGCAAGAGTGAGGAGATAGATACACAGTGTCCCCAGGAAGGCAAGAGGCCATAGGTTCCCAATGGCAGTGAAACCAGCAAGGATGAAACTCTGGCTCCAGGTATGGTTGAAATGATCCATAATTACTAGAAACAAAGAATAAAAATAGAAGATTCATGACTTCAGGATTCTTCCTCCTGAGAAATTTCTTCAGAGCCAATGCTATAGAATGTATAAGAGTTCTACAAAAACTTCATGGAAAAATAGAATTAAAAGGAAAAAAATAGAATTAAAAGTGGGAATCTTTCTATGAAGTTTTTGAAGTGCCCTCATACAGGCTTGAAAAGAACTAACAGATTATCAAATCAACTCCACTCATTTTGCAAAAAAGGAACTGAAGACTAAAAGGTAGAAGTGATCTGCTCAATATCTGTCGCTGATGGGAAAGGAGTGTTCAGGTTCCCTGACCCACAGATCAAAACTTTTCTTGTTGTAAATTATGTAGCATCTGAGTCTCAAGCCCCAGATTTTTTCCCACATATCAGAGGAGACAAATAACCCCCCGTGCTTGTCCTCCTACAGTCCCAAGTAACATGTCCCAGTATACTTTACGACAACCACCCATAGCATATCCCCTGTATCCTATAACCAGCTATACTAAATAGTGGGAAAAGGAGACATACACATTTTAAAATATGACTGCTAAGGAATCTTCAGGGAGCCTCTCTGTAACTCAGAAATGTTCACATGAATGGCTGAAGGAGAAAGATGAGAGAAAAAAATGTGGATATTCTGGGAACATTTCTTAAAGCTCAGAACTGTAGGGTCAGATGAAAAATCAATGAGCAGATGGGATACATTTTAAGGAAAGATCCCAAAGGGAAGCATGGATCAGGAATTCTCAAAGAGGTTGGAGGAGGGAAGACTTGATGCAGCCAGGCCCCTGTGGTGCTGGTCCAGAAGGGCTGCAGTATATCAGAACGCGCATTCTCTTGGAAACTGGCTTTCTAAACTTTCTTTGCCACTAACTCAAAATGACCACTGGGCTTGACCATTTTTCTTTACCTCAACTTCATCTTCTCCAAAATGAAGAACTTTCAACAGATGTTTTATAAAGGCCCTTACAACCCTAGTAGTCTGTGGCTCTCTAAAGCCATTGAAGCGTGTTTTTGGGGTGCGTGTGGAGGTGGGTGGTCTATATCAATGTCCCTTGAGTTTTCCTCCCACATCGTCATAGGCCTCACACAGGAAAGGTCAAAGCCCTCTCCTAGTTCTCTTCTTCAGTTGCTCTTATCTCTTCTGCACCAACCCTGCCCGTTACCTGTCTGTCTTGATAACATTAGAACTGGTAGCATCCTCCTCAGCATCCTTTCTACCCCTAGACAATCCCCTACGTATATATCATGTTCCTGGAAACACTGGCCTCCCAGGGGCTCCTTGCTTATGTTCCCTGGAGTTGCTAAGCGACTGCTCTCAGTAAAGGTTCCCCTGGGGCAGGAAGTTGGTCAGGCAAGTAAAGCAGACCACCTGTATTTCTCAAATGACTTCTCTCCCCTCTGCACCCCTCACGGTTGGGTAATCCCAGGGAGACACTGCTCCTGTGCTCCACGAGAAGTTTTGCAAGTTCCCAACAGTTTCTCATGAAGAAAGTCCATCCAATTTGCATATCCTTCTGCATATGGGGAAGATAGCACCTTGAGCATCTGGGAAGTGAGATCCATTTTCTTAAAAATTATTTTTGCAAGATTTCTCATCCGTCACTACTAGCTTCACCACCATACAAGCACAATCAACATGGTCACCACCATCAGTTTTTGGTGATCATCTCTACCTCTGTTATTGTCACCTCCACCCCTACCTTCACTGTGTCCACTATCATTTATTCATTGTTCCAATTGTTGCTTATTGAATAGCTAATTCTCTGTTCTAAGTCTCCATCACCAGTGTTACTACCATTACTTACACGACTACAACTGTCATTCTCATGGGACTAATCCACTTTTTCCTGTTCATTTTTATTTATGTGAATATCCTTAATATTTTCATCAAAATTCCTGGTACTAGCTTCTGAGCTCTGAACTCAGGTAAGTAGTATCTGTGAGTATGTAGTTGGATAGGTATGGAGTAAAGATAAACAACAAAATACTAACATTTATCCATTGAAAGTAAGGTATTTGAATCACTCATTTAACCAAATGTAATTTTATTTTTCTGAATCAGAGGTGGGGACAAAGGAGTTGTTAACTTTTTTTTTCTTTAAAGAGCAGCATGACTTGTTTTTTTTCTTTATTTTTTTGTTAAAACATAATTGATTATATATATTTGTGGGGTACAGAATCTAGTATCAATACATGTGTACAATATGTGCTAATCAAATCAGGATAATTAGCTTACCAAACATAATCAATCTTTGTGACCCTTAACTAGTTTCTTGCCAACCTCCATCCCCCTCCCCCTTTCTCACATCTAATAACCACAGTTCTTTTCTTTTTTCTTTTGATTTTGAAATTTAATGTATTATTGTGATTCTTTGTTTCTCTGTTTCTTTCTTCCTTTTCTTTTTTTCTTTATTTTAGCTCCCACTTTGGAGTGAGGGCATGCAGTATTTCTCTTTCTGTGCCTGGCTTATTTCACTTAACATAATTTTCTTTAAGTTCTTCCATGTTTCTGCAAATGGCAAAATTTAATTCTTTTTATGGCAGAGTAGTATGTATTTCATTGGGTATATATACTACATTTTCCTTATCCAGTCATCTGTCAATGGGCACTTACGTTGATTCTAACTCTTGGCTTTTGCAAATAGCATTTCAATAAACATGGGAATGCAGATATTCCTTCAACATGATGATTACATTCCTTTGGATATATACCTAGGAATGGTATTGCTTGGTCATGGGGCAGTTTATCTGTAGTTGTTTGAGAAACCTCCATACTGTTTTCCATAATGGCTGCACTAATTTACAATCCCACCAACAGTATAGGAGGGTTCCCCTTTCTCCACATCCTTGCCAGCATTTGTTATTCTCTGTCTTTTTGATAATAGCCAGTCTAACTGGGGTGAGATAATATCTTAGTGTGGTTTTGATTCACATTTCCGTGAATGATGTGAGTGATGGTGAGCATTTTTTATGTGTCTATGAGGCATTTGTAAATCTTCATATGAGAAATGTCTATGTATCTCCTTTGCCCATTTTTTAATCTTGTTACTTGTTTTCTTACTGTTGAGATGTTTGGGTTCTTTGTACATTCTGGATACTAATCCTTTGTCAGATGCATAGATTGCAAATATGTTCTCCCATTCCATAGGTCGTCTTTTCCTGTTACTTGTTTCTTTTGCTGTGCAGAAGGTTTTTAGTTTCATATAATCCCATTTGTTTATTTTTTCTTTTGTTGCCTGTGCTTTTGGGGTCATATTCATAAAGTCTTTGCCCAGTCCTATATCCTGAAGTGATTCCCTTATGTTTTCTTCTAGGATTTTTATAGATTCAGGTCTTTATTTAAGTCTTCAATCCATTTTGAGTTGATTTTGATATGTGGTGAAAGATACCAGTCTAGTTTCATTTTTCTACATATGGATTTCCAATTTCCCCAGTACCATTTATTGAAGAGGCAGTCTTTTGCACAATGTATGTTCTTGGTGCTTTTATCAAAAATCAGTTGGTTGTAAGTATGTTGGTAGAGTTCTGGGTTTTCTATTCTGTTCCATTGATCTGTCTGTTTTTATTCCAGTACCATGCTGTTTTGGTTACACTAGCTTTGTAGTATAGTTTGAAGTCAAGAAGTGTCATGCCTTCTGCTTTTATTTATTTATTTATTTGTTTGTTTGTTTGTTTCTCAGGATTACTTTGGCTATATGGGGTGTTTGGCTGTTCCATATGAATGTTAGATTTTTACATATATATATATATTTCTGTGAAGAATGTCTTTGGTATTTTGACAGGGATTGTATTGAACCTGTAGATCATTTTGGGTAGTATGGCAATTTTCACAATGTTAATGGCAATTGCTTAATTAAATTTAAGAGAAGGAGGTAACAATAAAATATTAACAAGTAAATCACATTAAACAAAAGTAAAAAATGGAATGTTATGAGTCAAATTGGGAAAGCTTCCCCTAGGAGCTGGAGATTTTTGATCCAAAGGAAAGAAACATATTTTCTTCTGAGAATGCCAGTGTAACTTCAGGATTGGAAGAGTCCCCCTAGAATTTGGACAATCTGAGTATCATTCAATCTTAACCAGCAATTAGCCTACATCCTACTTCCTATGAATTATTTGACTTTTCTACAGGATGAAGTTACAACTGCCTTCACTAATTTACTGCATCTCCCACAGTTCCAAACACCAAACACCCCTTGTTTTTATTTTTTTCTCAATGGATCTGTATAGATTAGCCATATATCCAGACTCTTTAAATGAATAATTGTGCTGTAGCCAGAGTGGCCATTTTTATACTATTTTTATTACTCCGTATATCACATCACATTGCTACTTCTACATTCCTCCTTGTGAGCCAGACTCTGAGTCAGACTTCCCTAATTATTTGTAGTGCCCAGTTGTATATCTAGATGGCTTGTCATGAACCAAGTAGATTACAGTGCTCATGCACTATCTCTCAGAAGGCTGTCAGTGTGACATAAATACTTGAGCACAGCAATTGTAGACATTGTGTAGAATTATTTAATGCAGAAATAAATACTAAAGGATTAAGGCTTCCAAGCAGAGTTCTTGCATAGCCAAGAGAGTTATTCCTTTTCTTTCATGCCATCACCTGTCACTAGAGTACTTACTTAGCATTTATTCTGTATCAGGAATGGAAAAAAGAGCAAGTTCTAATAACTCCACCAAGTAAATCATGATTTAAAGAGAAAGATGACATCTAAAATTACCTATGTTAAAAAACTTAAGCAGGATTCAACATGTTCAAAAATTCACAATATCATTGCTAATATTTAGAAAAAACAGCCGATATTTATTAGAAATTACAAATGAATAGATAATAATTTATGAAGTAATAAGATTATAAGTTGTTTTAAAATTGTATTCTTTTAGGGCCGGCCCTGTGGCTCACTCTGGAGAGTGTGGCGCTGTTAGCTCTGAGACTGCAGGTTCGGACCCTATATAGGGATGGCTAGTGCACTC